CTAATTGATGAGCCGGGACTAATCACCGATAAAATAAATTAATGACGATCACGTCGCGAGAATCGATCACACGGCGGTCCCGGGGGCTGCGGCACCGAGGATACGCACCCCGCGCGAGTGAGGCAACGTCGTGCCGTTCGTCGTGCACCTAAGCGAGGCGCATCCTCGTCGTTCGCGCCGCGGGACTCGCGCAACTAATTATCATGCTAATTAAGCGGCGCCGACGTCCTTAAGAGTCGGCGCTGCGCATCCCACTCGGTTCCTCTCGCCGAGGTCAAACCCCCCTTTTTCATGTCCATTTTTGCGGCGGGTAGCGCGAGTGTGTAGTGGGGTCAACGAAAAACGGCGTTGCCGGCACGGCTGGAGGGGGGGTAGGGACAAGGGGGTCATTTTTAGGCCTCATGAGAAACGACCCGTCGAACGCGGCCCAACGATGAGGCCCGTTAAGTCGAAACTTGGCGAAGTTAAGTGAGTTTGCGCTTGGAGTCGCGTTATATATATAATAGCATCGAGAAGAGAAAGACGTTGTTCGATACCTCTATAACGCGATCTCTAAAATATGCGAACAATCTTCGTTACGTTGTATTCCTTTTACAAACAAACGCGCGACATAACAATGTTATTCGATTTGAATTTCATCATTAATCTCTCACTCGTACGCCGTACGAGCATCCAAAAGATCTCCGCCGCCATCGGCACATAATTTCTCCCGGCGGAGTCCGGTGTGTCGCCACGATGAAGCCATTAATTGGGACATTAATTCCGGTGCGCGGAATTAAGCGTTAGAGTTTCACGAGTATATCTAACGGCGCGATTAAGAGGAGAACGACTCCGCCGTTTTTTCGAGGGGGCTCGTTAATTAAGCCGGCTTAATGAACATTTTTTTTTATTTTCCACCGTGCGCCACGTTCCTCGACGACGAGGCGGGCACTTATGCTTCGAGCCGCAACTCCAAATGTTGCTGCGCCACGGCGTCTGGTAACTAGAGTTTCCAATCCCGGATATAATTTAAGATCCCGGGATTTCGGGATTTTTTGGATTCCATCCCGGGATCCCGGGATTATATAAATATAAAGAAAGAAACAAGGAATATTCATAAATAATAGAATTATTTTATTTATAAAACGTTCATAGACTTTTATGAACATTATGACAAACATAAAAATAAAATTTCAGTAAAAATGAAAGCAACTTACATTAATGATTGCACAAAAACCGTTATAATTAAAAATCAAAGTTTTTATAATAAAAATAAAAGCGACTTTAAAAATAATAAAACATAAATTTTGTTAAAAAGTATCTGAAACAAAAGCGATTGTTAAAAATATTACAATAAAAAGAATCCAAGATAAAAATGAAAAGGAAAAATGAAAATAAAAATAACTTTCATTCCTTCTTTTCATTTCGAAAAAACGATCTCAGAAATAATAATGCATCTAATGTGGTATTTCCAAGTCGACTTCTGATCTTAATTCCAATATACCCAGTTGCTGAAAACGCTCGTTCAGGTTCTACGCTTGTTGGAGGTATTGACATTAAATATTGATACGCTAATTCAAGGTGGTGTCCTCTTTTCCCAACTGACTCAAAAAGAAAAGAAACATCTCTTTCTTTAAAATTGACATCAAATCACCTGGTTTTTGAAGTCCTGGTTCTATTACTTTTTCTAATTTCTCGCTGAAACTTTTCACAGTAGTGTCGTAGCGCGTCAGGCTTGCAATCTCGAGGATCCCGGATTCGAGTCTGTGTTGCGCCAGTTTATCCGCGAAATTTAAAATAGAAAACTCCCTTAATATTTAAAACAAATAAAAATAATATATGGAATTAAATTTAAAATATAAATACACACTTCTCTAGCAAATGCTCTAAAATATCAGTAATAAATCATAATTATTAAAGTAAAATTTTTGTAAAACGTAACTATTATATAGACACTAAGCATTAAATTTTGAAATCCCGAAATCCCGGGATTTGTGATGTTGAATCCCGAATATTTCCGGGACCAAAAATTTGGCCGGGACCCCGGGATTGGAAACTCTACTAGTGACGGTCTCGATTTCGAAGTCGCTGCAGCGCTCGACTTTCGAGTTTGGTAGAAATGCAAGGAAAGCAAGGATCGCTATTCTTAAGAAATAAATCTTTGAAGCCTTACGTTAGTCGAATCACCGACGAGCCAATCAATCAGCGATTTTCTTCTCTTTTCTCTTGCCTTTTCCCGGTAAATAACGGAGCACACCCGTAAAATCGAACAACGGACTTTCCAAATCGCGGTTCTCACGAGTCTCGTTTTTTTTCTGCAGAGTCGAACCGAAAGAGCGGGCGCATAACAGGTGACCGAAAAGGTCTCGTTACGAGGACCCCCGAGTTGGTGGCTCGGCAATTTCGACGTCGAAAATCCGCGCCGCGGCGCGAGAAACAAAAAGAAGTTAATTCGCGGCTTTAAAGCACGGAGGACGTTCCCGTTCCCACGCCTTTACGCTGGACCAAGACTTCGGCACGAGAACTCACATCCCGAAGATTTCTTCTCTCGTCGGGCGAGGGTATCAGCGACTATCGTTTCCCCGTTTCTGCCGCGATCCGCTGAACACTCGGCGTTTCGCTCGAAATAATCAGTCGCGTCCAATGACAAATTGTTTCCTCCGATCGAAGGCACGCGGTACGACATGTTGTGATGTTTCACGTCAACCATTCATTCCATCCCACTGTCAAGTACAATTTTCTTTTTTTAATGAATTTGCAGGAAGACAGAGGAAAGAAAATGCCCGCGGTAATTAATAATGGGTAAAATTAACGATTATTTCTCGTAACAACTGCAGATTTTTAAAGTAAAAATAAATCAAAGTGGAAGCAAGGGAATAAAGTTCAGGTTTCCATCCATTATCGTTCGAATGTGAACGACGTTTCTTCATCGTACAAAAATAATTTCTCAATTCCACTTACATAATTTTCCGGAGATTTCGAGAAATCCTATCCAGGCAATTATTTATGTGATGACGGACACACAATATTAAAATATCCCTGGACTACAGATTTTATCCCTATCACTCGACCGTACAAACGACGACGCGGACGCGTCCGGAGTCTCGAAGGTGTCGCGATAATACAGAGTGCTGATAAGACGCTCCTCGGGTCCTTGAAATAGAGGTTGAGACGGTAGTCGCGACGGGATGGAAATGAGACATTAATACCGCAGGCTCGACTGGTTGTAATGGAGTTATTACGATACAGAGAAAAAGAAGGGAGAAACAAGAAGAGAAAAGAGAGAGAGAGAGAGAGAGAGAGAGAGAGAGAAACAGGGGGGAGGGGGAGAGAGAGTGTATGAGAGAAAGACAGATACAGCATTCCTACGATACATCCCAGTCTCAATCGCCAGAACTGTGAACATTAATAGCCAGCAGCCGGGGAAATATCCATTCCGGCAAGATGGCTTCGTTAATGGATTGGCGATCGGCTAGGAGAGACCTGGCGGTCGTTGCCTCGACCCTCAATCATCGGGAACTGCGAGGGATGCTGTGTCCCATTTTCGTCCTGTCCCTTGTATCCGAACATCGTCTCGTTCTCGTTGAGCAATACTTCGCGAAAAATGCTCGCGAAGAATCCTCCCCTCGGATAGTTTCATTACATATACTAGTGAGTTAGTGATGATGATGGTGAAATAATAATCACAATAATGATAGTTTTTCTCTCTTACACACTCTGTGGTACATGGTAACGATAAAAATAACAGTTTTAATCCTTCCTTGATAAGGAAAACTATTAGCGAGATCGGTACTATTAGCAAGATTTATGCCCAATTTCTTCACCTCTAGATAAGTTGCCGATAACTTTATTCATGAGATATCTGCCAGAATCAATTTTCTTCACCTTTGTAAAGCTTGTATCTGACAGATAAACTTATCCGCTACCTGAAGTAGCGGATATCTGGCAGATATTAATTCCAGCACCCTGACATAATTAAAAAATTACAATAATACGTAAGCTGCTATTGCTGTTTTTGTTTTTATGAAAACACAACATGGATTTGTTACTCATGAATATTAATATTTTTTCATCTAATGATAATGATGATGATGAAGAATTTGTGAAAAGAAGATCCTATACAATAAGAAAAAAACCGAACAATTTTCAAGTATGAAATGACACAGAATTTTTCGAACGATTTCATTTGAAAAAGAATATAGTGCTCGAATTATTACATGCAATTGAAGACCGATTGTTAATACTGTGGAAATTACTTTAATTAGTTCATATTAATCCGGAAAAGCATATGTTGCTGGCAGAATATGATGATTTATAGCAAATTTCTTGGCACATTTTGTGTCAAAAGCTAGTAGTATGAAGAATAGCTATCTGTTAGACACGTAACCAGAGATTTTAGCGAAGAGAACGAATGTTTAGTTATCTGACGGATATATGTATCTGGAAGATAGCTATTGGGAGATGTGAAGAAACCGGGCATTAGAAGCGCGAATGGAGACTGAGAGCCACTGACGCAAAGATGCGCTCGAAGATGAAGAGGGAACAAAGCGCGACGCGCCGTGCGGACGCTGCTCTCCGCAATGCGCGTGCACTTCTTCGGAATAAAGGAAGGTGGCAAAGCGAGCCGAGTGCATTCGATGTCCTCGCAGAAAAAAGACATTAGTGAGGAGGAGCATATCGCGGAGGATCACAGGGAATCGCTCCCTTCGGAGAGAGAAAGCGGACCTTGTCGCCTTCTCCTTCGAGTATCAAAACGTGAGATTAAAGACGATGAGCGACGCCGACGGTTCCATCGTTGCCAGTGCGATCTGTTGACCAACGTGCATCAACGAGCACGAAGGACTTTAAAACACACCGAACACACATAACTCGACCATTTTTCACTTTGCGAATAAAAATCCGTAAAAGTTTGAATCAAGTTTATTCACTCCGATCAAATGAACCACCCGCGACTTGCGAACCAGCCGCGTTCGGAGTCTCATTCGAGTCGATTGAATTGATTTTATCGCAGAGTCACTCACCATTTGGAACTTGTCTGCAGAGCCTGGCGAACATCATCTAGCTTGTGAAGGAACGTCTTCCTGCAACAGAAGAGAGGACGGACTTTAGAAAACGACGTCCTATTTCGGTGTGTCTGTCACTCATCCTGCCGTCGTAACATCTCGTGTAACGTTCGAAAAAAAAAAGAAAAAGCGCGCTTCCTCGCGTTTATACACGTTTATTATTATTCAATTTCATCTTGACACTCACGAAAATCAAGAGGAGTCGGCGTGTCGCGACCTCCCCTCGAGACACGCGTTTAGAAATGTCGATACTGGCACGACCAGCCCATAAGCATCCCATGACGCCCTTTTAACGTGGATCTACGATCGTCGCGATCGCATCGTAAAACATCATACCGTCTCGCTCTCACCGCCGAAGGACATTATATACCCCCATTAATTAGGGAATTAAATCCAGCTTGCCTCTTTGACATTCGTAACGCTCCGCTTAAACGTTTCGCTTCGGTTTCTTTCTTTTTTTCTTGCCGGACGCGTAATTGCACCGCTTCGCGCCGGGGGGAGAAAGTAAGAGAGAGAAAGAGAGGAAGGAGACGGAGCTTACGTTTCGCGGGACGCAGACCTCTCCAGCTGATCAGACACGCTCGCGGGACCCGCGATTACGCAGGCCGGCTATCAAAATTCATTAGCCTCGCTAAAATAATCCCGCGGGAGAGAAAGGGCTGACAGGGCGGGGAACAGAGAGAGAGAGAGAGTCTTGGCTCTAGGCAACGCGCGTTTCCTTAAATAATGCCTAATGGCCTCGGCAGTTAATAATTACGAGGTCCCCTTGACTAATAGGTAACGACAGGTGATCTACCCTCGACTACTAGCGGCTTGAAGATCGCGCGTGCGCACTCCGCGGAGCATTTCGAGTCGGTAATAACACGGTCGGATGCAGCCATATCGCACGATCTCTTGCCGCGGCTCGCGAAAGATTATATCAATTAAATGAAACATTCAGCCGATCACCCTTCGCCCTCGGCCGTGCCCTCCCCCTCGCGTGGAATTAACGGAATTACATGTTAATACGCGCGTATGAAAAATGTCGCGATATACTCGTTCTCGACGACGAGATAGGGCCCGCGGGGGCCGTGTTTACCTCGGCGTAATTGCGCGCGCGCGGCAGGGTAGAGGTGAGGGTAGGACGGGATACGGCCGTTAATTAGTATCGCTAATTACGCGGAACACAGCGAAATACCGCGGATTCGATATGCCCCCCACACCCACCTCTCTCCTCTATTTGTCGCGCATAAATAACAGATTAATGCCGGCGATACTAAGCCGGACCGGTAGCTTATGCAAATGCGGGTTCAAAGTTTATAGCGTCTAATTAAGCACATTAGCAGTACTGCAGGACTTAATAAAATCCGGCATTCGGGACCGGTTTCCGCGTTTTAATCGGCCAGGGCCCCGAGCCGGGAGTCCCGGGATGAATTCATTAGATTTCGACGATCTTTACCTCCAGCGTTTTTCTATGTCCTTTTGTGCAATCGGAAAAATTAAAGACTATATATATATATATATGTGTGTGTGTGTGCATGTGTGCGCGCGCACACGCACGTCTGTAATGCTCCATTTAAGATAAATGGACCGGTAACCAGTCGTTTAAGCGTAAGTCGTCACAAAAAATACAATATATAATATATATATATATATATATATAATAATATTAAGAATAGTTTCGATATAAATATTTACATTTATTCGAAAACTTAAGATTCCTTCAAGTAGAGAAAAATAATTTAAATCAATATATATATGTATATATATATATTATTGATAAAATATTTATACAAACAATGAAACGCATTAATGTGGCCCAATGTTCGGATATATTTGTCCTAGTGTCTGACAGCAATTAGAAAATTAGTATGTGCTAACGGGAAATAATGTAAATATAGATGCTATCTTTTGATGAATTTATTGACGATTGACCATTATTTTGCCAAACCATAGGTGCATACTTATTTAATTAATTTTTATTTTAACACAAAAGTATCAAATTGGATATAACTTTTTCCAACTAATCGTCAAATATTGGAATTTTTTTTATAACAATTATTACTTTCATTCATTATTGTTAAAATAAATAGTAAATATCTTTTTTCAAAATGGTCGGACACTGGGATGTATCCGGCCATTGGACCGTTTGCTTTACGTTTCATCGCGTAAAGGCTGGCCTAGAAAACACAAATCCTTCTTGTACGCATTCAATCGAATGGAAAAGAATAAAAAGAATGATCGACTCAGATTTTCGTCGCTCGTGACAAGCGATACGCTGCGCATTTTAAGGGAAACGCTTCGCTTTCCCGACGTGCCTTTTAATTTCCCCCCTCCCCCAAAATTCTTTGTCTGCAACGATCGATGATCACAATCACATGATTACCGTTAACCGGAGAACAATGTCGGTCGAGCAGGAAGATACGACCGGAAGTAACGGAGGAAGAAAGTTAGTACTTAACGGGCGCAACGAGCGGAGCACCGAGTCCTACCAAGTCCTCGGCAGAAAGTCTGAAAGCGGGCTAAGCGAATCGCAGGCCCGGTAGGCTAGCTGTTTGACATAACCAGTTCGGAGCTGCGGGCAAGGACGCTACGCGATCCTCCTTCTCCTCCTCCTATCTTTCTCTTCTCATTTTTTTGCTCCCCTTTCTTCCACCTTCTCTCATAGTCTCTATCTGTCGATCTGTCTTTCTCTCTCTCTCTCCCTCTCTCTCCCCCTCTCTCTCTCTCTCTCTCTCTCTCTCTCTCTCTCTTCCTCCCTCTCCATCTCTTTCTCTCTCACTCTCTCGATTCCTGGAGACAATCAACCCCTGACCAGCGCAATCCGTCGCGGACTGTCAATCAAAAAAACTGGACTGCTTATGCTCTAGATTCGAAAGTGACAGTTTAGATGACGGCGTCCACGTGCGACTTCGCGAGTCGCATTAGATTTCGCAAACCGCGACACACGATGACTCGATGATGAGCACGAGGACGGCAACGGCGGAACGCGCGCGACCACCCTCGGCGATGGTAAACGGACACCGGGACCTGGACGACACCGGATACCGCGGTTCGTTAGCCTCCTCCACGGGAACCGGAAGCCGTGCGCTTCAGCGAGAGGTGAACGCCCCGAGAGGTCCCTCGTCGTCTTCTGTCCGTCCGAGCGAACCGAGCGACTGTTCGTCCAGTAGCGCCGTTAATGATCCACGAGGTATATCCTCGGCGACGATCTCGCCATCTCGTCTCTTCTTCTTCTTCTCCCTCGTCTTCTTCTTCTTCTTCTTCTTCTCCTTCTTCTTCTTCTTCTTCTTCTTCTTCTTCTTCTTCTTTCTCCCGAGGCTTGATCGGACGTCAATCTCGCCGGGGACGTGTTTCGTATCAAGCGTATTTTCCGTAAAACGCCGATCGAGGAAGCGGAGAATGAAGGGGCGCGTCGTCACATACACTTCGGAATTTCGGACGGAGTTTGGACTCGAGAGCGAGAGGACAACACCCTGGATCTCTCGCTTCTTTCGTTTCTTTTCCCTTTTTTCGGAAGTAGCGCGTCGAGGTAAGAGACCTGCGCGTCGACGACGCCGACGCGGAAAGCCGCCGCGCGATGCCCGCCGCTCGCGAGCTCGTTAACTCGCAGCTCGACGAGCGTTTTCAATCTGCGACGCGTCAGCGCGGCTACGAGGTGCGAAGACGCATCCTCGATGGTGGATCCACAGCACTCCTCGATCGGGTCCCCCGTGTGAACCGACTCGCGCCAGGCCCTTTGATTGACTGGTCGATCGTGCCGATAAAAGCGTATTGTGCTCCGCTCGCGAAGAAAGAGCCAGCGAGGCAGAATTTGTCCCGAGATATTAACATTGCGAACGCCGGGGCTTGCGCAGCGCGCGTTTGCGAAATTGTTTTGCTAAATTGCGACATTCCGCGATACTCGGCGAGATCCTGTCGCACAACGTGTACACCTGCGCGAAGGAAGAGAAATTAACACGACGTCCCGGCGGACGAGCTACGACGGTGTTTTTAACGGGCACGCCGGATAGGAGGGAGACGAGTGGTCGTAAGGCTGTCAACGACGACCTTGATTTTTCACGACGTTAATTCGCCAATGATTATACAGGTTGGACCACTTTGGCGTGGCCTACTTCGGCGTGAAGCCGGCGTCGAGCTTGCGTGTGCGTAAAACGCGCATGCGTGGAGTATCTGTACCGATACTCGAACAGTAAACACATGAGACGACGATTGTCCGAGGATCGGGATATTGTAATGTTCCGCAGCGCCGCAGGAGAGTACCGAGTCACCTCTCTGAAATGCTGAAACGATCGCCCACGTGTCGGCCACGTGTGTAACGGCCAAGTGGCCTAGCAATGTCTTGTCTCTTCTAAAAGGGTTAAGTCAGGGGAAGGCTCGTTCCTCTGTTCCCTGAGAGGAAGAGAGACAGACAGACAGACAGACAGACAGAGAGAGAGAGAGAGAGAGAGAGAGAGAGAGAGAGAGAGAGAGAGCCATTCTCTTTCTTGGTTCACGATCCGGTTCTTTGTTACGCGACGGACCCGCACGAGATTGATCGCGCGGCGATGGGCCTAACGAGGCACGACGGGCCTCAAAATCCTCCCGATAATTAATGAGAATCGCCCGTCCGTCGACTCGCCGGACGAGCGACGTCGAAACGCAACATCGATGCAACGCGCATCTTCGATCTATAAGCGCGTCTTGATTCACGAAGAAGAATACTTCTTCTTCTCTTCTTCCTCCTCCTCCTCCTCTTCCTCCTCCTCTCCCTTCTTCTTCTTCTTCTTCCTCTTCTTCTTTTTTTTTTCTCCTTCTTCTTCTTCGTCTTCACGAAGTAATCTCGATAAGCTGGCGGATCAAGCGGTCGTTAAAAAGAAGAAAATAAAAGCATCCAAAATCCAACGACTTCCAATTTTCTCAATATCTCGCTCTTCCTCTTATTTATAGCTTTTCTCGATTGTCCGTTATGATCCGTTTGACCGCGTTAATTCACTTCAAACTTGCGATCACAAATTCGATAGAGGCCAAGCTCATCCTACCCTGACAAGGTGAGGATCAGAGAAACCCGGCAGAGCTCTAGCGAGATCCCCGCGCGATGCGAGGTCGATCTACCTCATTAACATTCGCCTCTTTGTCTCTGTCCTCTCTCCTCGCGATCGTCCTGCTCCCTGAGAGGTCTTCTTCCTCCACCTCCTCATTCTCTTCTTCCTTCTCCTTCTGTTCTTCTCTTGCCGTTACTGCCTCTTCTTCTTCTTCTTCTTCTTCTTCTTCTCCTTCTTCTCCTTCTTCTCCTTCTTCTTCTTCTTCTTCTTCTTCTTCTCCCTCTTCTTCTTCTACTTCTTCTTCTGTCTCTTCTTCTCCTCGTTCTTACCTCTCACTTCTTGCCAACCGGTCGACTTTTAGTAGCGCTCGTCCTTCCCGCCGCGGCTCGCCTTCTCTTTTTTGTATGCGGCATGATGGAAGGAAGAAATGGCGGCGGTACGAACATTCCTCGGCAATTTCGGCGTAATGTCGCGTCTTCGACGAGGAGCACGTCCTTCTTCTGCTCTTTATGCCGAATAGGAGCGCACATGTGGTCGAGATCGCGCTGCGCTCGAGGAATCATCACGGAGACAACAGGGTACTTTCTTCGAGGTCCATCGTGTAATCTGCGCGAATTACCGTTGTTACGTTGCTCCATGAAAAAAATCAGCTAAATAAAAAATAATCAGCTAAACGATAAATTCATTCCAAGTGGTGACTCGCTTACGTACGTTACATCGTGATATTTTCTTCTCTCTCACGTTGAATACCGCGTGGTCAACGAACAAGATGGACAAAATCCCGTCATCATAGAATCTCCTCCCCCCCTCCGTCTCTCTCTCTCTCTCTCTCTCTCTCTCTCTCTTTCTCTCTCTTTCTCATCTTTTTCCAGCGAGTCTCGCCGGCGCTCGCCGCGTGTAACTTGATAAACAAGTTTACTTGGGGAAGCCAGTATCTTATATACATGCTTACACTGGGTGTCCCGAGCAGACTGAATACTAATTGCTGGACGTGCCCTGCGAAACAAAGCGCTCGACGGTTCGTCGCGGGTCACTGCTCGAAAAGAACGTCGTCGTGGCTCGGAATAACTTACCATACTGCGCTAACATTTACGACGTGCCACGTAGCGGCATCATAATTTCAGTCTGTTATTTTCTTCTCATCGTGGTCAGTCCGAGTCGCGACGAGGGTTCCGAAGGGAAAATCTAAAACAGCCGGGCGTATCGTATGATCATTCGACCAAAGTGTCGTTTGTGCACGCGAGCAGTGCCCGCTCGCGTCGTTTCTTGAACTCTGAACTGCCGGACCGCGCAAAGCACACGCGTTGTGGTGAAAGTCGCGGTCATGCAGGAAAAATAAGAGAAATGAGATGTTTCGTCGGCAACACGACAACGACGACGACGACGACGACGACGACAACGATGACGACGGAGAAATCACACGAGCATTCTCGCATCGGTCGAAGTGCTTCGAATCTCTTTTTAACGAAGCGATTTAATGCGTGTTAGAAAATACGTGTCTCCTCTCGCGTGTTGAAGCTAACTTCTACTTCAGTTGTCTGTTCCGCGTGTTCGTGTGCAATTTTAATCTCGAAAGTGGCGTCCATCAAAGTCTTGACTCGGTTCTTTCGAGTCGCGATGTGACATTGATTTTTATACGAATTTAGAATTACGCCGCTCTCGCGAGGGAAGAGATTTTCGAGTCGAGAGATGAGTACTGCTTGACACAAATTGGGAAGAACTTTTGCGCTATATGTGAATGTCAACGACATTATTACGGCACAACAATGATAATTGTCGTCGTCGTCGTATTATTTACTCTAGGCAGAGAGTCTTTCTGCAAGAAAGAATGCGCATTGTCGCAGGATGCGTACGCGGGCTAGTTCGATTTGATCTTGATCTCGCGATCGAGAAGAGATCTCGCGGGCGCTTTTTTCCGTGGCCGTTAATCATCCGTCGCATATAACGCACGCAATTAAAAATATTAATTTCGACGCGTGTACCGCAGCGGTAAAATCGATTTCGGTGATCGATCGCGCGAACACTCGCGCTAATAATTCGAGCCGCGGCTGATTTACGAGCGGATACAATGTGCTCTCGCGTCCCTTCTTTCTTTCTCCCTCGCGCTCCTTTTCTTTCCGTTTCACCCTCCCCCCCCTCTCTCTCTCTCTCTCTCGTTGGTAGCTTGTGCAACACGTTTGCGTTTTGCATCCGCGAAAAATAAATGCACCGGCCGTCCGACGCATCCATCTTCATTTGACGGCCCGGCCCGGGTATCACCGACGTTTTTGCCGGCAAGAATTTGCGCGGAGGGTCGATTTATTTATTTTTTTGTCTTAGCGACAAGGAGAGGTGCGAGAAAGATGGATGATTTTGAATAAAAAGGTCGATGCTAATGATACCGACTGTGAGGCTGAGGAATTTGTCTCTTTAGTCTTTCAGAACGATTCACGGAGTTTAGCGAGTTTCCTAATTAATGCAACAAGTTATAGAATTTTAAAGCATTCCTTATTTCGAGATGAATTGAGAAAATATACTTGCACAGAGGATATATTTCATAGTCTGTACTCCACAGAATAATTTGTACGCGATATCCGTAAGCGTATAAGAAAATTTCGTTGCGAAGAAATTTGCTTCGTGGAACACGGAGAAAGAGAAAGATCGTGCGATATCGAACAGTACGGTGAGGATAATCGCGACGCTCAATGTGGGATACGTTTTACGGAGTATCAACCGTGTGTACGCGCGAGTAATAAGAAATCCATATTGAACGGTGCACGATAAGACACGATAAATTCTGAGTAATCCACGTACTTACTTGTATACCACCCGTTGTATCCGACAATGTTGTCGTTCATAGCGCACACCCGGTGTATACCGCGAAGACGTGCAATTTCGCGAACACTGCTCTCGCTGTTATACACAGTGCGTCGTAAGTCGCGAAGGCAGAGTTCTCAAGAGTCGATTAGAGTTTGTCGCAAGCAAATCGATCACCGTGTAGTCGCGTCAGCATCATCTTCCTCGCAGCTAACTTCCATTTACACGTGTCTTCCTCCAGAGTATCACGCTAAGTCCTCGCAAGTACGACGCAAGTCGAACTCTTAACGAGGTTCTTGATGTCTTTCTTATCCTTTTCTTGGTCTCTGCTGAGACTCTTCAAGCTCCTTGTGATCCCTCGGCGATGATTCTAACTGTTCTTCTATTCCACCAGGACAACTGGTCATCGGGCTAGGGTCTGCGGTTTAGAGTAGGTTCCGCATCGTTGCTGATTGCGACGTATACTCGGTGCTCCATTTGAAAAATTTACTATTCAATCCTTTCTATTCAATATCCAAAACTCAGAGAGAGAGAGAGAGAGAGAGAGAGAGAGAGAGAGAGAGAGAGAGAGAGAGAGAGAGAGAGAGAGAGAGAGAGTCCTCTATAACAACCAGTTAGTAAATCGAATAGAATAAAAACAATGAGATTTTATACTTTTTTAATAATCAATTTCTCTTTCTACTTGATCGCTAGCCCTTCATGCTCGTCTAATTTAGTTAATTTCCTAATTGAATTTCCCCTTTCGCGTCTCTCCTCCTGTGTGATATAGAAGCGCGTCTCCCCTCTTTTCCTTTGTATAATTAATTTTTATTTCTGTCGCATAATGAATTTCTTCGGCTTGATAACAAAAGTTCTTTCCGCGTGCGCGGGGGAGATGAGAATGTTTCCGTATAAAAAGTATCGTCGATCGCGACGATGACGATCGGTATGCGTCCCAACGCAGATTCCTGGCGCGCGTGTTAACGCCGACGTGATCCTACTGCCAAGGCGATGAGGCTCGCCGCTAATCGCCTTTCCCAGCTCTCTCCGACGACGAGGAAGTTCCTTCTCCCCGTCCTCGTTTGCTCGCCCGCGGACGACGACGATACCGCGCGTTTACGCTGATCGGTGAAACTCCGCGAGAAATGGCAGCACCGTTTCTGATTATCGCGACCGACACGTCGGAGAGAATATGCAAGGAGCCATGAGGCTATTTTGGTATATCTCTCACGATACGAACAGATCGAACAAGTCGAAAATCGAAAATTCAATTGAAAGATTTCCCGGGAGATAATTATAATTTTATCTCGCGGCAAGGATTAATTAGTCGGAAAATCGTAATGTATTTCTCGGTAACGAGTCTAATAACCTAACCAGACGGGTCATTAGAATGGTACCGGTGGTACATAAAACCGGCGTCGAAGGAGAACGACGTCCCCCGATGAAGAGAATATGTTGACGCTCGCCGTCTTAGGATTACGCATGGTACCGCACATTTCTCAAGTATCTCCCTTAATTTACGTTGTTAGAACTGCGCGCTTTTTATTATCTACTATCACGTTTCACGCATGATTCTCGTAATCTCGCGTCGTTCTTAACAAAGTGCCGATCACTTTGTCGAGGAAGTCCTGATGCTCGCGTAATCCGAGTTAGCTCGTCTCATCGCGCGCACGCGCGCAGCTCGGAAAATCACACATTCGATCTTCCCTACCGTTTACCGCGAGCCTTCGCGACATCCGCGGCTTACTCCGTGGCAGTCCGGACGTTATCCATCGTCGGCTCAATTGGAAAGAAACTATTTGGTTCTCTTCTTACTCGACGGTACCTCCGCATCGATCTCGTTAGCGGTGTCATTTCTATCTGAACTCGCGTTACGCTCACTCTACGCTCACTCCACATCATCCTTCGATCTTCGAGCCGTCATTCGTGCTATCCGCCTCGAACTCTCCGCCTTTTTCGGAAGACACCTCTGTCACGGTTTTCCCGAGGTAGTCTGTGTTATCCGCGTTATCATCGACGCGACTCACAGGATCGTCTGACCTCGTCTTTCTCTCTCTTTCTTTTTCTCTTTCTCTCTTTCTCTCTTTTCCTCCCTCCCCTTCCTCCCTCTCCCTCCCTCTCTTTCTCTCTCTCTCTCTCTCTCTCTCTCTCTCTCTCTCTCCCTTTGTGTCTCTTTCTTTTTTACCCTCTTACGCTCTTACTCGATTCAACGTGCGATTTCGTTATTCGGCCGCGACTTTGTGCGTATTCTGCTGATAGCCCGCGCAATCCGCGTTATCATCGAGAGCGGTCCGCCTAAGAAGAGTACTTAGTTCGCGTAGTTGAGCGCGGGCGTAATAAGAGACTGCCTGCTGACGGCGGTAGCGCGGTTCGTGCCCGCGAGCGGCGGCAACAGAGAGAGAGAGAGAGAGAAAAAGAGAAAGAAAGAGAAGGAGGGGGCAAGGAGTGAGAGAGAGAGAGAGAGAGAGAGAGAGAGAGAGAGAGAGAGAGAGAGAGAGAGAGAGAGAGAGAGAGAGAGGGAAAGGGAGAGGGAGATAGAGAGAGCTGGTGAATGAGAGAGAGAGAGAGAGAGAGGGGGGGGGAGAGAGAACACAGGCAGGACAGGCAGGGTGAGGCTCCTCTCTCTTCCCCGCACACCGGAAGACTCTTTCGCTCTGGGCCCCGACCGACGCGAGCGGGCCCCGGCCGCCGGCGGAGGCCCCGCGGCAAGTCTGAGCACTCGCACACTTTGCTCTTTCTCTCCTTAGTCGCGATGAGACCCAGTGGGGCCATCGTGTTTACCAGACCGAGAGGGGTCCCCACGTGTCGGGTTTTATCGTCCCGCGGTCGATAAGAAAGCTTCGAGGAGAGCGCGTATCGGACATCCTCGGTTAATTTCAGGGTTGACTCCGTGGATTTTTTAAGTTCTTTGACTTCGATATCTCGACTGACTGTCTAGTTCTGGATTATTTCACATGCGACAACTGAGAAAGTGATCGAGTAAAGTACTTTTATTTGGCTTTTTGCGATAGATGTAGAAACTAGACACTAGTTTTCGCTTACGATATTTTCTGATACTCACCCCATTGTTGCAACGAAAGGCGGGTGTTCAAAAAGGTGGGCCTAATTTCTTCAGTTTCCTCAATAATTCCGGCTTAGTCAGCAGCGCCTTGTGGATAGACTCGATCAGCACCTTGTTCTGATCGTACGGCGGGAACGGCATGCCCTCCATGTTGTAGACGTAAACCGCACCTTTGACGTCGGCAACCACCAGTTGATTACCGTTTGCTGTGAAATCTGCGGCGACTAATCTGGCGCCGCTGCTGCAGGTCGTCACGAATACCGGGCTGTAGGTTTTTTTGCGTATGTCCCAGATGCAAATCTGATCGTTGACCACGTTAGCGATGACGGTGGAACATGTAGGGCTCCATTGTGCGCTTCGCACACACGCCATTGTTGTCGACAGGATAATAAGTGGCTCGGCGAGACCTTCCGCCCAGATTCTAGTGCACCAGTCGGCGCCGCATGTGAGGAAGAGCTTCTGACAAAACGGCGAAAACTCAAGGGAGTAAACCGGGCCGTCATGCGCCTGGAAGCTATCTATGTGCTGACGCAAGTAGGTAGTAGAGCATCGATAGATGCAACCCTCGTCTGAACCCACGAGATAAATGTTGCTGATACTAGGATGTCTTCGCAGAACCAAGGCACCAGGTTGTCGACTGATAGGCACATCGTAGGCCACGCAGTAGTGGCTCCTAGACACTCCCATTAACTTACCCTCTACGCGATATAACCGCATAATCTCTGTGGCGAGGAAGTCTTCGCCGAAACGGTAGCAGTACACCCGACCGTCTTGGTCGCTCGTGTAGATCTGCTCTTGATAATCAAATTGCTCGTCACCGCTCCACCATTGTACCTGGAGAACACATGGTACTGTCGCTAATCGTAAAGTGATATAATAATAAGGTGTTCGTATAACGTATACCGCGTAATCATGTCAACGTCATGAACATTCTTTGCATCTCACCTGCCAATGCGGCGAGCAGGCTGGCGACGTCTCTCTGTAACTCTGTCTGATCACGTTGACGTTCTTAGCGCTAACATCGATGATTTTGACATTGCCGTTGTAAAAGCCAATCGCCAGAAGATTCGGTCGACTTATGCTCCAGTTGATGTCGGACACCGAGCTGTCGAATGTATACTGGCGAGCGGGATGACTCGGGTTTTTGGCGCACCAAATCAGTAGCAAGCCGTTTCGCTTGTCTGCTGAATCAGTTCGCGCGCCGTAGCCCACGGCGAGGACGCTCGCGTTAGCCGGACTCCAGCGGAACGACGCGACCGGACGATCGCGAACCTCGTCATACATGTGCGTCCATAGCAGGTCCAGCCGGTAGTCGAAGCAGAGGTCCAAGGCGTAAGGGTCGCGTACAGTCACGCCGGTGAAACGTTTTTGTACCGCCAGGAACACGTTGTTTGCAATCAGACGCTCCATCACACGTGCTGCATCCAGGAAGCGAGTGTTCCGGCAGATGTGGGATAATTGCTCCTCGAGACTCGGATCGGGAGTTACCTCGGGCTCGGGAAGCTTGTATCGCAATTCCTGTCGTAAAAATGAATACATAGGATCGTTAGAGGATATTTTATATAAACATCTAAATCGGTTAAAATAGATATTTTCCACGAGAAAATAAAAAATCTCTATTATAACTGTTTATATATTAATTTCTGGTGTTCACAAAATAATTAATGTATACAATTTTAAATAATAAATATACAAGTAAATTAAAATCAGAATGTTAACGATAGGAAAGAAGAACAGAGGGTTGAAGTTACTCGCTTTTTTAACGTTGAAAGTGACACACTTTGAAGAATATATGTATCTTCAAAAATATCGAATCCTTTCTTACTTGCTCTTCTCGCATTCGGCGCATCGACTCTTTCGAGTGCACCATCAGTCGTCCGTCTTTTTCAGTCATCAGTTGCGGCGCAGCGTATGTGTCGTGGATCACCCAGTTGTTCACGAATATTCCTTGATTTTTCCTAGGTCTCGCGCCCAAGTAAGTACCGCGCGATTTTGTCAACACGCGTATCGTCTGTGTCTCAGCATCCATCAATTTCCGATTCGAACCGAGTCCTACTGTCACGTACTCGTATTGCTCATTTTCCTGCTTAATCGCCTGTCCTTCCGGAGTTAATAGATCGCCGGTCAACTGTGGCAACTCGAAGATGAAGAACGTTTGCGTCTCTTTCAAAGTGATCGTCACGGTCTCTGAGCGCTCGAGTAATATCACCGATTCATCTCTATAGAGACGATAAAAAATTTCACTATTGTTAAGAATTCAACATTATTACAAATTTCACGTTTCTTCTCCAATTTTAATTTTTCTTTATGTTACAAGAGAAAGACATTTTTATCTATATTTTATTTTATATTTATCTGATGAGCAATTATAATTGGTATATGATTATTATCACAAGTAAAATATTTTCAACTTGGTTTTATTATTTTTTTTAGCAAAATCATCACCTGGGTAAGAAAAATGGTGCTGGTGCAACATCTTCCTCTTCTTGCAAGAATTCGCACACCTGAGTAGTAAGTAAACTCTCCAACTGCATGTCTTCGGACGGCATTGAAGACTTGAGAAAAATAGAAGAACTGGCCTTGAGTCCACTCAGGTCGGACGGAGACATCATTAGTTGGGCACTACTTGTTGTCTGGAAAATCCCAAGAGTCTCCAACGCGGTGGTCTGGTTCTCTTCGATAATGTTGAACGCCGGATGAACCAGTGGCTTGGGCGTGACATCGACGTCGTTCTGAATGACGCGAAGAACTTGCCTTTGCTGAAGAAGCACTGATGCAAGGTTACGCTCGCAACCGGCTTTACGAAATCGCCCAATCCCGCCGAGTTTCATCTTTGAAGAACTAGCGCTAAGAACTTTCGAAGACATTCTTTGTGGAGACTCAAAACTGCTTGTCTTCATCTTGATGGCGTTAAATAACGATGGTGATTGAAATTTCCGTAGCAACAATTAACGCTCGCGCTCCATTTGACCGCCATTTTTACGGCTCCATGGAGATGTTTAGTCAATATCGGATATACGAGAGTAAATATACTTTATATCATTCCTGATAAAATTTGTTGTCCATAAGAATCGTTATTGGTTGAATTCAATCGTCATTTTTAAACTTCTGGCTGATTGTGTTTTTGTAAGGTTCATTTTCACAATATACTAGATTCAATCGATGGAAAAAATCATTACGTTATCTTAAAAAGCTGTGAAAGAAAGAGAAAATTTCCAGTTGAAATTCTCAGTTAAATGAGCAAAATGAATGAACTGTGACTTCCGCAATCGATATAAAAATTTTAAGTTTTTCGATTCGAAATATCAACGAATTTACGAATATAAAATTTATACCTATTATGGAGTTACACGGGTATGAATATTACTCTCTCAAGTGCCACAATTTTAGATATAGTTTGCTCGTGCAAAATAGTTTATACACAAACGATATACAACCAGTGTAAAATTATGAATCTTACTTGCAATGGAACTGTACTTTAAAATAATAATCGATCTAATAAACACTGTAAAAGTGATTAACGCCTTGCCTGGCGCCATTTTAGAGGTACTGCAAGAAGTTAAATAGCTAATGTTTTATATAGCGACATCTAGCGAAAATATTGTTAGTCAAAATTTAACCCGTTCGAGAATTTGGTTTGAGTCTTGGCTAGAAATGGTTCAAGTTTTAACTAAAAATGTAAATTAGTTTAGTCAGCGACGAGAAATTATAAAGACTGTTGGTCTTACGCAATTTAGCGTATCAGAGAAATCTCGCTGTGCATTAGCGCTCTCTTAGGAATACCAAAGCAGAGAGAAGCCTGAGAGCGGGCATGGCTGTATTTACAGCGTTATGGAAAAGTTGGCTGATTCGAAGCGCCAACTGGGTCCATTTTTCATGGACATGAACTACTAAGCCAATGTCCTCGATTTGTTGGTACTATTCCGTGCTATGTCCATAATTATTTGGTTCTGTTCTGTATTATTTTCACGAGCGAGCTAGTTAGTTAGATAAAAACGAAGAATCGATCTTTGTCTCACCACCAGCGAATAGACAATTGCGACGCTAGCAGCTGTTATCGTACGGCAGACGTCGCCATCCCCACTTTCACCCCCTTGTTTTCCTTTCCATATTGTTTTATATTCATAATTCGGGAAGAAAATAATTTCAAGAGTTCGGATGATTTCTAGCAATGACGCGACAGAGATAACGCGCGGCCACATTAATTTATCATGACTTTTATAATATTTATAATTGCATAAACGCCCATATATGCAAATTATAGATAATTATTGCGCGTATGTTTTAATATTGTACAATATGGTATATAATAACAATAACTTTATTTCTTACAGTAATTTTTTTAAGATTTTCGTTGAGGTCGTGCATTAATTTTTTTCTTCATCAATTAGTTTTATGCAAAAATTACGATTTTTTAAATAAAATATAAAATGTTTCTCTTCTCTTCTCTCCGAAGAGTTAATTAAAAAATATGTACTCCACAGAGTCAACTAACAAATGTGTAGTCAGAAGAGTCAATTCAAAAGTGTACTCCGAAAAGTCAATTTAATAGCGTATTCCGAAGAGTCAATTTGAAAGCATACTCTGAAAAATCAAATTAATATTGTAATCCGAAAAGTCAATTTACAATAGAATATTTACTTCGATGATTCAGCTGAAGAAAAAAACATTTATTTATTATTATATTCAGAGAATAATATTTAATTTATTATTTATACTTATCTTACTTATGGTTATCCTACATATGCTTCTTTGAATGAAAAATTTAATTTGTTGACTGATTCAGATTCAGATTCGTTAAAATATCTTTTATGCGCAACTCTTGAACAGGTAGGTAGTAAAATAATTATTTTTCTTTACGAATTTTATAAACTTTTCACGAACATAAAAATTGAAAGATTCTCAGAGGACAAATAACTTTGCTTGAACATTTAAACCAAAGGAAAATATTTTCCCATTAATAAAGAATGAATAATTATATCTCACACAAGAGGAATCTTTATCCTTGAAATCACCGCGCGATTTTGCTTTTAGAAAAGTATAATATTGATGTAATAGTAACAAATGCTATCCAAAAACGGTGCAAATCTTAAACGTTTTTGAGAAATGTAGTTCGAAGTTTAGTCTTTTCTGTTAATGTCGTTATAGCAGAAGAATTACCAATTTGCTTCAGTAGCGCAGTGGATCAGGCTTTGTAATGTGAGCGTAGAGGTTGTTCAAGTGTGTTATTTTTACTATCACAGGGAGAACTATGTAGAATGTATAATGTATAATAATACGCAGACAAATTCTTTACATAATCATACTTATTTCTTTTAGCATGAATAAAAATGATCAATGCTAACGTGATAAGTGTATATCGCAATTGTACGTGCACGCAATTGTACACATACACACACATATACACACGTATACCAATGATGTCAAAACCGAACAAATCGTGAAAATTTTTTATTGATAGTAATTGTACGCAAAGACGAAACAGAAGTACACGGATCTCCGCGGGTACCTCGTCATATTAATTGTCTATAAAGTGATAAACAATTGATCTCCGGTATTTACAAGTTACGCTTGTCCGTAGCTTGTTCGGTTTTGACAACATTGGTATCAGTGAATTTGGTGACGGGCTTGCACGAGGATTCTCCCCCTTTCCCCTCCCTCTCATGCACGCACACAGCCAGCTCGGTCAATCCGTGTGAGCCACGCGATCGGCAATTGTCGACGCGCCGAGCGAGCGAGCGAGAGAGAGAGAGAGAGAGAGAGAGAGAGAGAGGGAGAGAGAGAGAGAATATCATTCCCTCCTTGTCGCTCTCGTTCTCGTTCAGCCAGCCTAAAGCTAAGACTCCATGCATGCGGTGAGCTCCGGCAAACGGCTGCGGTGACCAATCAGGAGACAGACGCATGCTGGAGCTTGCCGCAACCGGACTTGCGCCTCCCTCCTGATTGGTCATCGCAGCATTTGCCGCAGCTCACCGCATGCATGGAGTCTTAGCTTAATTCTTTCTTGCCTATAATTTGAATCGCAGGCGCGACTGTCTCTCTCTCTCTCTCTCGAGTAGACAATACTGAAAGTTTTGTCTACTCGGCGCACCGAAATTATTACAAATAATATTTTATTATTAATAATATTATTATTTGTAATATATATTATTTGTAATATTATTATTTGTAATTTTATTTGTAATTGTATAATAAGGTTACAAATAATACAAATTTTTACAAATTTTATTTGTAAAAATTTATATCATTCGTAATATTATTTATAATAGTATTAATAATATTCGGCGCCAAGAAAATGAAATATATTGTATTATTTTGCGGAGTCGGACAGGTTCACAGGTTTGATTATTGGATTGTTTAATAATATTTTTAGAATAATTTTAAGTTATACAAGGATGTAGTATGAAATATAAAAGAATATTGTAACAGAATCAAGAAGTACGAAATGAAACCTCTTTGCTTTTATTACAATATCCTGTAAGTTAATAAATATTTTTCATACAGTATTAAATAATCTCCAAAAACAATTACATCCGTGAAATTTTCTATCTGCGCGAAAAAAATTCATAAAATATATTTGTTTCGTCGCTCTAAATGAGAAAACTCTCAGAACAATGTTATAGTTGTTCAGTGCACTACTCAATAAAAATATAATAATACTATGTTTGTATGTGTGAAGTATATTTGCTAACTAACAGGGTATTGTAATAAAAACAAGGAGGTTTTATTTCGTACTTCTAAGGCCAAGATTTATTAACGGCTAAAGACATATTCGAATTGATCTTGCCTTAATTGGTCGGATCAGTGATCGGTCTTGCCTTAACTGCCAAGCCTCATAACTCGGAAAGTACTCGATGAAATGTAACTTTGTTAGAGTGTTTTGGAATGCTCTCGAGATAAGCTACAAGAATATGTAATAAAAAATCGTAGTTTCTATTTAAAAAAACATCAATGACCTTGGCCTGATTTTGACAAGGTCACTTCACTCAAGGTCAAGTCCACATTTCCGTTATGTGTCGTCCTTCAAGCCATGCAACTTTCGCCCGACAAATTTTTTAATAAAATAACATAAATTTTTACAAGTAAAATTTATCATTATTTATTAGAACACTGAGTTATATGGTTATTTTACTTGTTATTGTAACAAATTAATTATTATAACAATGCAATAAAAAATATTTAATACATAAAATCTTGGCGCGGCTGCACCAAAAACTATATAAAAACTATCGAACTAAAACTTGTTTAATACATGACAGCACTTTTATTATAATATATTCTATAATGAAGGTTTATTCTATAATGAAGGTTTATTCTATAATGAAGGTTTATAATTTATTTATTATAATACTATATAAACTTAAATAGAACATTATGCCGTATATGTATAAAGAGAATTTACAAGAACATTTTATTATAATAAAAATGCTGTCATGTATGTATTAACAAAGTTTTAGTTCGATATAGTTTTTTAAAGTCAAATTAGATATCATTGACATTTCGTCAATTATAATAAGAATAACATCTTTGAATAAAAAAATATCAAAATATGTAGAATATATATGGTACACATTCGATATGTATATTCTATAGTGAAGGTTTATAATTTATTATAATACTATATAAACTTGAATAAAACATTACACCGTATATGTATAGAAAGAATTTACAAGTACATTTTATTATAATAAAAATGCTGTCATATATGTATTAAACAAGTTTTAGTTTGATAGTTTTTGGTGCAGCCGCACCAAGATTTTTTGTATTAAATATTTTTTATTGCATTGTTATAATAATTAATTTGTTACAATAACAAGTAAAATAACCATATAACTCAGTGTTCTAATAAAGAATGATAAATTTTACTTGTAAGCTAGGTTTTCTTGGATATTTTGAATAA